TAACCCTTCTGTAAGTCTGCCTTCAGTCTTTTCTCCCAGCCAATACCAGTGACGAGAAACTTACTCCTCCAGGAATTCATCTTGGTGTGGTTCTTTCTTTCTCATATTGATTTTTTTTGCCTCTGAGCATATTCAGGTTCATTCTTGAAACTTTTTTTCTCGCATGATGCTTATTGATTGTATTCATCTGACTTTTAAGCCATTGATGTTGAAAGTGCATGCACTGTTCTTTATGGTTTTGTTTTATTAACCCTATAACAACAGGTTTTTCAAACACCATACTAAGCCATGCACAAGCCAATACATGCAGTCTGCCACTCAAGTGAAAATTTTTGAGCAAATGTTTTTTCTGCTCTCAACAATTTTGGCTGCAGCATATATGACCTTTCAGTAAAGTCTACTCATTAACTGCAACCAGGACCAAATATGCAAATAACTGTTTAGCACACACAGGCTCAACCGTGTATGGATTCTTGCCATACAGCATGAAGTTTTATGCATAGATGGTTCCAAAAACACTTAACCCAGTGTCAACGGGAAAATAGTGCTTTCCCTTTGGCAATGCTTGGTTAAATGTTTCTGCACTTAGATGGCTCCACCAATGCTTAGCCACAAAGGAGTCAATTAGTAGATTGTGTGACCTCACTTTTCCTTGAAAAAGTGCGAAAATGCTTTTTTTTTTTTACTACTGCTATCAATATTGACACTGTTATTTTTGTTGTAAACATTATAATTACTATATTGTTACTGACATTACCAACATTAGTATGAAATACTAAAAAATATTATTGAAAATCAAGGAAAAGGGTAAACGGGAGACAGGTAGTTCATATGATTGGGTCATTGGTGACTTGTGGAGCCATCTATATGTAAAAACAATTCCTAAATTCAACACACACAATGGGGCAGGGCATGTATGTGCATGCCATGCCCGGTAACATAGGGTTATTCACCCAAAACTTCATGACTAAGTCAACTTGACCTCATATTTGTCATTCTTTGAAGTTATTTTTATTATTGTTATCACTGTTGATAACATCATTGCAATGATATTGATAGTAATGTTGATAATGATAAGATAAGTAACAACAGTAATAGAAATAGAATGGGGTAAATGGTGAAATCAAGTAGACCTAGTAACTTACTTCTTGGAAACTGAGTACTTGTTAAGCCAGCTGTGTGTAAATGAAAACTAAACGAGCAACAGAGTATGTACCCAGCGCCATTGGGTTATGATAGAAAAATTGCATGTGTAAATCTTCCTCTGTTTTCATCCTTCAACCTTTTAGCACCTTCATATCATGTAATGGTATCAATAACTCTATGGTTTTATAAATTGTTAAGTTTAATGTTCTTGTTAGCTTCGTTATCAGGGACTTGATTCAGTGCCTGCTTTTTTAACAATGTCCCTGAGAAATATGTCTCTAATAGTGGAGAATTACAGGAAGTGGTGAGTATGCCAAGTGCTAGTGAATGACACAGGAAAACTATATTTGATATTAGGTATGTGGAATGTTAATGGAAATATAAGGATGTCTTGTTTTCATGATTTTTAAGTAGATGAAACCATAATCCTTTTCTATATGTGTATGTGTGTCTGTCTATATGTATATGTATATGTATGTGTATATATATGTACTGTATATGTAAATTTATGTGTGTATGTACATATATGCATATGCACATATGTGTATATGTATATGTATATATTTTTTTGGCTGTTAGTTTTTTGGGGGGCAGGAAAATAGTCCTATTTATAAAATGTAAACAAAAAGTGAAACAAAACACTAAATAAGATGTATAGCAAAAATCTGCCTTTCAGAGATTTTTGTTCCTGACTATAACCAAAATGTTAATCATATGCTTGCTGTTTCATTCAGTCCTCATACAGAGGAGAGCTGTATCTTACCCCAGTCAGTATCCTTATGACCTCCACTCAGATGGAGATTTGAGGATTATAGATAAATAAGGCAAATGAGCAGTCTCACTGTATTATTATTATTATTATTATTATTACTATTATCATTATTATTATTATTATTAGTGCTACCTATGGTTACATAGGTAGCAAGAAGCCACAATAATGCTGCAGAAATATAATTTCCCTTAATATGTTTTCTTTTAACAGGGCACAAGAAATGAAAGTGGTATTAATGATAAGGAAAAGGAACGAGCATTTAAGCTGCACCACTCCAAGAAACAGTATATATTCCTGGCAGCTTCAAAGGAGGATTCTTTAAGGTGTGTTAGCAGGCAGATTATTCATAAGAGAACAATGTATTAGATTAATTTTTAATTATCATTAGTACTCAGAATTATTAGTGTTTAGTTTATTAAGAACCAAAATATTGCAGGGTTTGTTGCTAATATTTATCTCTAACAATGCTAGTCACTTCATGTATTCATATACCTGAAAGTTTGTCAATATAGTATCACAATGAAAAGTTAGTTTATTTAATGTTATTTACATCACTGCAAAGTAATATTTTAGGATGATATCAAAAATTAGAAATTTGAAGTGGTAAAAATCAGATCTCGGCAGAAATAGTTATCTTGACTCGCCTCACAGAATGCTTGATCTTTCTCTTGCAGATGGGTAGCAGCACTGAAGAAAGCTTCACAGGCAGAGCTGCCATCTCCGGTTCAATGACGAGAGAGGCAGGTGATCGAAGCCCTCATTACATGTCTGTGAGAACAACCACACTTGCACACACACACACACACACACACACACATACCTACACTCAAGAGATTAAATATGTACTCAAGTATACTGTAATGCACCTAAGTAAATACTGGTATTGGATGTTAGTACAGTCAGGAATATGACAGTCTTTAGATTTCCTTAACAAGGTTTAGTCAGTATTGGAATCCCCATATTGAATCCTAACTGAGAAATGAGAACATAGCTAAATTTCTGAGCTACTGATAAAGATCCAGAAGAACAGTTTACTAAATACTATGCAACAGAGGAAGGGTAACAATATATAGCTGGACCTTTTAAGGCTTAGGTATTAAGTCATATTCCTGTTTGATGAAATTAGTATTTCATACACCAGCTGTAGAATTCATACGTCCAGAAAACCCATAAATGTTGTGACATCCAGCATTTGGAACTAAGGGGATGAAACGAAGCATCTGCAAGCCAACGGGGATATGATAATCAAAATTATTTATTGATGTCGATGTTGCAAACAAAAAAGTCAATATAAACTACTCGTCTCCTCTTTCTTAATCTGCTCTTGGCGTGGGCAAGGTGTTCCAGTTTGATTTTTATTGCTTTGGCTGTGAGTTGTCTAATCTGTGTTTGGGGATTTAGGTTAAAAATCTCTCTCCCAAATGTTTTTAGCAATTTGTTTGTATAACTTCATTTATTTTCTAAATTTTAGGATATGTGAAAGGCTAATGGGAAAAATCAAATGAGAACATCATATTGACAGTTGGTATTCCTGTTATGTATGTTCTTTTTATTGGAATCAGCATCTTTTCCTCCTTTTTATTTACCCTATATTCAGGGTTTAATATAAGATAAGAGATTTCTCTTCAGAATTTAGGTATTTGTTGGTTTTCTGTATTTTTTTCTGTTTTAGCATAATTTTATATCACACTTTTATTTGAGTAAACCATATCCATGATCTTCATTATGAATCTACCAAAATAGGCCTTCATTTGCTGTGATTTAAATCATATCAGGATATCTTAATTGAATGAACAGCTTTGGAATTTTATCATGATTAAAAAAAAAAAAATCAGTGCCAAACAAATTCTTGCTACACTGCCTCCTAAATCTCTTAAGCTGTCTATTCGTTCTTATGGATTACAAGTGACAGTCGAGTGGTGGTATAACCCGTGGACTTACTTTGTGTAGACTTCGGGCAGAGTGTGAGAAGGGATGGGAATGCTTGTATGTCTAGATTAATCCTAGGATGTACACCTGTGATTGGGAATGGTGTTTTAGTGGCTTCTAGAGTCAAGTTAAAGTGTACGTGTGTGATGGAAAAGGTATATAGTGGCTTTTAGAGTCAAGCTGTCTTTATGGCTTATTGTCATAGAATCTTGTGCACCTTTCTTCTATGCTTTAAAATGCTTCATCGTGCTTCACTTATCTTTTTTGACATTGTCTGAGTGCTCTACATTTCCTTTAGAGTTAATCAAGGAGTATCTCTAACACAGACAACCTGTAAAAGATCATATTTTTTCTGCATTTCGTCTGAAGTGTATATAGAAACTGTATTGGAGTGTAGAGTGTTTCAAGACAGTGTATTATGGTTGGAAAACTTAACATTAAAAAAAATGAATATCTCAAGCAGTGCAGTATTTTCAGTAACTATTTAGGGCTTGAATTCGTTGTTAGATTTTTTTATTTTGATATGCAAAATTGATAAATTGGTCACTGATTTAACTAAAATAAAACAAAACAAAAAAAAAAAAACTTGGGCTTTCAGTTCTAACAAGCATTACACATCAGACAGGTTTGGTTGCAGAGGCTATTAACTGTCAAAAAAAAAGAAAAACAAAACAATTTCCACAGAATTGCTTCAAATAAAAGGCCAAAAACCATGCTTCTTTTTGTGAGTTAATTGCGTCTTCAACCTGGCCTTTCACATCACAAGTTGTACTCACAGAGCGTGTAGAAGCTCGGTCACAAAGCCTCCGCTACCGTACTAAATATGTGTATAATGTACAGGCTTATTCACTCACTTTCACCAAATTGGACATGATGCACGCTTATCTTTTTTTCTCTTGTTTTCTTGCTGTATAACAGTAAAGGATGCACAGATTATCTATACTTAATGCACAATTCTTAAAGAATAGCTAATATAAAAATTTGCTCTAGGAAGCAGTAGATAAAATTGTTGTTATATGTGTTCTGAGTAGGGACACTTCACATCTTTATCTCTTTTTGTACAGTAGGGTTTACTGTATCAACTTTATATGTGCCATATAAATGTGTAAATATATGAGTCTCTTAAATATTTTCTTGTTTAAATCAGAAGATG